TGAACTGGCGCTCGATGTTCTCGATCGTCTGACGGGCCGTCTCGATATCCGAATTGCGGGCCAGCATGACGAAGGTGGCATTCTCGCGGGGCTGCGACGCGGCGACTAGTGGGTCTCGGCATTGCGTTGCGAAGGGCTTGTCGAGGTCTTGAGGGGGACGCGGGATGCGGTACGAGAGGATGTGGAGGAGGACGTCAAGGAGGCAGAGGAGCACGACAGGAAGGGCGAATTTGGCGACTACTCGAGCACGTCGTGGCGGTTGTCGAAGGTTTCGAACGATGGCAGCGAGGACTCGACCCGCCCGCGCGAGCAGAACTGTCGCTGTCATCGCCATGGTGGTATTGGCAACACGCCAGCAGGTGTTGACAAGGCGGCATCGTCATTTTCGTCGCTGTCGCCGCCGCCGCCTCCGTGTCGTCCAGCATGTTTCGAATTTCAAGTTTAGCCGGTCTTACCAGATTGGCTGGCAGCTTGCTGATCCTCCATCCATCCAAGCATGGGGCGGGCCTTTTTAGGTTGCACTGGGATGGTCAGTGCTTGTGCTCTGTTCTGTCCAGGAGTCCCGTGCCAAGGTCGTGTTCGTCCCTTCCCTTTTGGGATATAGTCGTGACATGGGCAGGGACCATTGGGACTTTATTCGCGTTTTCAGCTTCGTCGGATAGTCGATCGAGCGCCGTTCTAGTTGGAGTCCAACTCTTACATCCTAAATTCTTCCCCTTCACGATAACCTCTTGTTTGGAACTTTGCCAGGATTTGGGGCGGATATGCTTTGATTAGCGACAATGCGAACATGGCGAATCGGGAATCCACACCAATTGAGCATCGGGACGCCACTTTCCGCAGTTGTCGCATTGAGACGCCAAAACCGGGTCGTACGCGAGCCAAGCGCCGAAAACCCCGGAGCTGGGGATCGGTTGCCGGCCCGCTTCAGCACTGGTCTACTTCGAGGATACCATCGCTGCAACGCGGCGGTCCGAGATGGCCCCTCCAGGGCTCCCAGCTTCCCGCCTGACCATGTCCAAACTATGCCACCTGCCCAGCCTGGAGCGGACCTGGAATTTGGGCCGTGAATATATTAGCTTCCGTCTTCCCTAGACTTTCTCTTCTCTACCCCGGTGCTGCTTGTTCTCGATACTGACCAACAACCTCCAAAGACACGGCCAGTAAAACGACTCCATCATGAAGGGCTACACCATCGCCGCCTTGTCGCTCGCCGCCAGCAATGTATCGGCGCATTACATCTTCCAGCAGCTCACCGTAGGCTCGACCAAGAATGCCGTGCTCAAGTACATCCGCGCAAACTCCAACTTCAACCAGCCCGTGACCGACTTGACCTCCACCGATCTGAGATGTAACGTTGGCGCAAACGGCGCGACAACCGAGACCCTCGCCGTGAAGGCCGGCGACAAGTTCACATTCGATTTGGATACTCCGGTCTATCACCAAGGCCCCGTCTCCATGTTCGTGATTTCCGCAAGCCTAGTCTCAAGAGAGCTGTACTGATGGTTCTCAGCTACATGTCCAAAGCCCCTGGCACTGCGGCAAGCTATGATGGAAGCGGAGCCTGGTTCAAGATTTATGACTGGGGCCCGACCTTCAGCGGCGGATCATCATCGTGGACTCTTGAAGGTTTGCCATATTTATGCCGTCCTTTGGGGTTTGTTACCCTTGCTAACTGTTGCGAATTAAGGATCGTACTCGTTTGCCATCCCTGCATGCATCCCCAACGGCGACTACCTTCTTCGCATCCAGTCGCTGGCAATCCATAACCCTTGGCCCGCAGGCATCCCCCAGTTTTATGTCTCTTGCGCCCAGATCACAGTGACGGGTGGTGGAAGTGCTACTCCCGGCCCAACAGCTCTCATCCCGGGAGCTTTCAAGGCGACCGACCCTGGATACACGGTCAACGTAAGCATTGCCGGGTTTACTCCCCTCGGAATGAGATACCCCAGCTAACGTGATATTTACAAGATCTACTCCAACTTCAACAACTACACCGTCCCTGGTCCGGCTGTTTGGTCGTGCGGGAGCGCTGGTAGCAACCCAGTGACGACGACCTCAGTCGCAACTACGCCTGCCACAACAAGCTCGACCACAAAGCCAGCGACGACATCAGCGCAGGCACTCACTAGCACAACTCTGTCCACTTCAACTCGCGCGGCCACGACATCCGCGGCGTCTTGCTCTGTGGCCAAGTATGGCCAGTGCGGCGGAAGTGGCTTTACCGGATGCACAAGCTGCGCCAGCGGCTCGACATGCAACAAGACCAACGAGTATTACTCTCAGTGTCTATGAGCGGTCATGGTGGTGACCAGGATGGCATAAGACCAATCTCTAGCTGCTTAATGGTATCCCCTCTTTGGATGTTGGCCAAGACATTTATTCGATTCTTTGAACATAGTTTTGTGTAGATACTAGTATTTGGAAACAATGAATCCGTTGCATTTATCAAATCGCCCCCTCTGAACACTTGCTCCGGCGTACAGCTGAGCTTGATTGCTGAGTTGTTGATTTCGCCAAGTCCTTGAAATTGAACCAGACAGAACGCAATGGAAGTAGATATTATGAAGCAGCAGGCATCCGTACAGATTGCTCTCAGTGACTGAACTAAACCTATAACCGTATACAATCCGGGGATAACTACTCGATCGGCCGAAATCCAAAAATACAATCAACTCGGAAAATCCTCCCATGATACACAGGCTTGTCGGAAGAATTGTCTCTATGGGTTCAATCCTCCAATCGTGTGATGCGTTGACAGCCCACAGAACATTCTCGCCCTGCAGAATACGCTAGCCCAGTTTCGTATAATGGTAGTTGACTATGGCTGATGAAATCATGACAAGAGAGCGACGACTGCGACTATGACAAATGGGTCCGAGCGCCTCCCCCCTCTTTTGCGGCTGTCTTACAAAGCTGGAGGCAGCAACCCGTTACCTGTGGCATGACGTGGACGGCTAGGAGGGCACGAATTGGGTTTGGAACCCCGCAGTTCGATTGCTGGGCTTATTCATGCCCTTCGAATTGAACGCACACCCCGCCGTTTGCTTGGCGCCAAGCGCCAAGCTTCCAGTTCCGCGACCGCGAATTATTGACGAAGCCGCGCCGCGACAAGAGTCCGAGGTTGGGCAGTCCAGTGTCATTCAATGTCCGTCCCGATCGAGCAGGGTACACCGTACAGCCTCTCGCCGGTTGCAGCCCATCACCCCCTCTCCCATCCACGCGTCATATAAATTCGTCCATTGATCCATCTTCCATCATCCCATTTTAATTCCATCATCACTTCAATCATCATCATCATTCGACTGTGGGAAGCATTCTAAAATAAAACAGAGCAACTCAGCAGACTCACTCAATTATCCCCAAACAAAACACATCTCACATACCCTTCAACACAATGGCCAGCAAGAAGATTATCACGGTATTTGGAGCCACTGGCGCCCAAGGCGGCTCTGTCGCCGACACCTTCCTCACCGACCTAAGACTCAAGGATGACTGGACAGTCCGCGCTGTCACTCGCGACACTACTAAGGAATCTTCTAAGAAGCTTGAGGCTAAGGGGGCCGAGGTTGTTGCTGTAAGTTGCTGGATTGCACCCGCACAAGCAGTTCCCATTGCTAACATACCCTGTAGGCCGACATCAACGACAAGGCTTCACTGGTCAAGGCCATGAGCGGCGCACATGCTGTCTTTGCGGTGACCAACTACTGGGAGAAGATGGACGCAAGGCTTGAGGTCAAGCAGGGCAAGGATCTTGTCGATGCCGCCAAGGAAACCGGTGTGCAGCAGTTCATCTGGAGCTCTTTGCTCAACATCACCAAGCGTAAGTCAGCCATTGTCGAAAGCTCCCCGTGCTGTAGACTAACATGTTATTCCCAGTAAGCAACGGAAAGCTGTCAAACGTCTATCACTTCGACAGCAAGGCTGATGTGGAGGACTACGCTCGCGAAGTCGGCATCCCCGCCACCTTCTTCCTGCCAGGCTTCTACATGTCCAATGTCCCCGGCGGCATGTTCCGGCCGAGCCCACCAGATAACAACTGGACTCTGAGCTTCCCCATCACGCCGAACGCGTCCATCCCGGTATTCGACACAGATGACACGGGCAAGTTCATCAAGGCCGCCGTGCTGAACCGCGACAAGCTGCTGGGCAAGCGCATCTACGGCGCTACGGAATACATGACCCCTGCCGAGATGGTCGAGGGCTTCAAGAAGGTATTCCCTGAAGCCGGAAAGACCGCCACCTACTACCAGCTAGCTCCGGAGACGTTCAAGGATGCTCTGAAGAGCATGGGCATGCCTGACTTTGCTGCTTTGGAAATGCTCGAAAACTTCCTTCTGTTCGACCAGTTCGGCTACTACGGCGGCGCGAGCCTCGACGAGACGCACGCGCTGGTCGAGGACAAGCTTACGACATGGACCGAGTTCATCAAGAACTCTCCCAAGTTTCCTGCCGACCTGAAGTAAGCCAAGGCGAAAGAAATGGAACTAGAAGTTGGTCATCGTTGGCTCGTTCTCTTGTTGGATACTGCCATAGCTGGGACAATAAATAAAAAGACTCATCTTTAACAAACATTGCAACGCAACAGTGACCACTTGAGTGCTTGTGACAGAAACTAACTCAGGAGCAAGTTAGCGACCTCCTCGATGAAGTAAACGCTTTGAAGTTCTTGGCATCCAGTCGCAACGATAGTACATGGCTCACTTCGACTTCCAGCATTCAGCCTATCCACCGTGGCCCGTCAGGGATCTTCTGAACCCAATGGCATCCTTTTGTGACAACTCCCCGGCCCTGACCAGACCTTGCTCCAAGCCCTGACTAACAGCATGCAGCAGCCGTACCATGCAGGACCCCCCTGCATCCCAGACTCCACCAACCAGAAATTTCCTTCACGATCCACCCGCCAACACCACCATGGAATCCATCGACACCGCTCCCACCCACCCACCCACACACGCACTAGCTGGAATATCCCTCACCGAAATCATTAAACAAGCATAGGGCGTGTGGCTCAGTTGGTAGAGCGTTCGCTTAGCATCTCCATCTCTTCGAGTCGGTTCTCTGGTGCGAAAGGTCCTGGGTTCGATTCCCAGCCCGTCCAATGTTTTTCTGTCTATCCCAACAGCGTCTATGGTCTAGTGGTTAGGATTCAACCCTTCCAATTCGGCTCTGTAACAAGAGTTGAAGTTGCTAGGTTGAGGGGGGGGTTCGATTCCCTCTGGTCGCAAACGAATACGGGGTCCAACGTGAGATTGGCCTCGAAACAATATTTTTGGCATCTTTCGTCAAGTTATCCAAACAATATTCTAGCTATGAACTCTCTTATTGAACTAAGTTTCTTTACAGATTACTAACAAACATCAGAAAAAATCAACACAATTATGTCGTTTCTCACTGTTGTGGTGCACAATCACACTCTCGCATGCTTGGCGTTTGGATGCTATGATATTAGCCCCACATGCGCTGAATCGTAGGTATGCAGCATCTTTCTATGTCTCTACCAGTTTATCATCTTTCCCATACTTCCGCACTCCCGTAAAACCGTACAATGAACAGAAACCCACTAAACCACGCACCGTTTTCTCAACTCCCATTAACCATCTTCTTGTTATACCCATCCACAATATCCTGCACCTCCTGCTGCTCATAGTCGCCCGGATAATCCATCACCACGTCGCCAAAGCGGTTCTTGGCGGTCGGGTCCGCCCCGTGGGCCACCAGCTCCTTGAACACGTCCAAGTATCGGTGCCGCATGGCCGTATGCACCGGCCTGTCCCCTGAGAACCGGTTCGCCATATTGAAGTATGTCGCCTTTTTTTCGTGGCTGGCCAGCAGCTCGGCGAGAGCTTCGATGGAGCCTGTGGGACGGACGAAGTCAGGTTAGTGGGAGATTTATTCAATGCGAGATTATTGCAAGACGGAATGCGAGAAGGGGAGAACTACTAACGAGTCTGCCCGCTCTTGGCGGCAATGTGTGCCGCCGTCTGGTGGTAATCGTCCTTGCAGGCGATCAGGACATCTGCAGGCGACGCGTCCTCTCGTCGTGCCAGGGCCTTGACGGCCAGTTTGAGCTTGACGATTTCGCCCTCGCCTGCGAGCACCGAGATGTGATGGGACTCTTGTGAAGTGATATGCATTGCGGGCGGGCGTTTTATGGCGAAACGGTTTGGACGTTACAAAGGGCGGGTGTTTGTTGACAAACGGTCCGATGAAGGAGGATGGGGAACTTTTGAAAGTGAAGGCAGCCAGGCCGTTTTTGGCGGCGCCATGGCGGACATGAACCGAGTCAGGAACAATCCGGACGTCCGAAGGTCCAATGGGAGTAACATCGGTGGCGTGCAGATGGACGGGCTGGCTGCAGCGGCGGGGCCGGTCCGGTGGTAATTCGGCGACTCAGCATGCTACTAGGGGATACGAATTACTAATCGCGTTGATTTGGACCTATTTATTAAATTAGATCGCCAAACGACAGCGCTCCGGCTATCCAGGAGAACATTGTCGTTGCTGTTGACTTTATTGTTGAACAAAAGGGGGGAAATTGCAGACCAGGGGGTTAGGGTTGTATCAGAAGACGATGCGTCCGCTGGCCACGCAAATGGTGGAGCCCAGAGGATCCGCTAGTATTAGACCGACCTTCCTTCTAGGCAACCTTCCAATGAGAAGCGTGCCTGCCTAATAATAATCAGGCTCCTTTGGTTCTTGGTCCGACATCATCGCTTCTTCCAGTACAAAGGCAGCTAGCCAGCCACAATCAAGATCAAGTCTCCGTCAGAACACAAATTCCTCAACTTGGTCGGCAATGGTGACAAGCGAAACAAACTTGAAGCAGAAATGGAGCTCCTTAATCTTCCGACAGAAATCCTGTCAGATATCGTTAAGATCCTCGACAGGACACATGGGCCCAGCGTGTGGAAGTTTGCCCAAGCAAGCCGAAGGTGCTACTCCGTCGCGGGCGGTGGCGACGCGTTGAAATTCCGGACCATATCGTTCCACGTCATCAGCTTGTCGTGGCTAAAGCAGGACATCCAGACGTGCACTGAGCTGCTTCGGGAGACCAATGCCTTCAGTCATGTTCGACGGTTCGTCGTCTTCGGCAAAGTGCAAGGACCGCTCGGCTCTGGCTACTTCAAAAGGGCCGCCAAAGTACCGTACCGACCCAGCCCCGGTTGGCAGCCCGGCCTCAGCGCTCGCACCTGGCATACGAAACGGATGATGCTCCACGGCACCACAGACCTGCCCGTCCCTCAACTTGAAGAACAGGATGAGTTCCCCCAGCGCGCTTTTATGGAGTCCACGAGCCATGACAAACTTGACCAGGACTGGAGACCGCTCGCTGAGTTGATCGAGAGCCTTCCTGCACTCGCTGATTTGATCTACCAGTGCAGCTTCCAGCTGCCGCCCTGCGTGCTCCAGGCACTTCAGAAGAAGCCAGGGTGCCGACTCCACCTCTACACTTTCGCCCTGCGCAGCTTCACTGACAAAGAAATCACCGACTTGGATCCCCACGACCGTGCGCTCCTATCATCGCCAAACCTTCACAGCATCTGGTTGATACAGCGGGGGATTGAAGGCCGGACGCACAGAGACACTGGAGCTCGTTGTGTCGAACTACCCGCCGTCATACGGCGTGTGCTACAACGGGGCATGGCACCGAACCTCACTGACCTCCGGGTACATTGCGGCGATCCCGACGACACCCTTTCCTACTCCGGCTTTCCCGACCCCGTTGTCTATCACCACCAACAGAAGCTCGACGCCATTGGCTCGGCCACCGCATGTCCAACTTCCCTCCGCGTCCTCGAGCTAAAGAATCTGTTTCATATACAGACGTCGAGCCGCGAGATGCCTGTAGGAAACCTGTCCATATGGAGTACGCCGTCGACGGGTTACTCGTCGCTGAAAACGTTGCGGCTCTCACAACAAGTCCCCCAACGCGCTCTGCACGAACTGTTGCCAGGCCCTTTGAATGCGGGCAGTACAAACTTTCCAAGTGTCACGACGCTACTGTTTACCTGCCAGGCAGAGGGATTGCCAGACTTTGCTGGCTATCTTGGCAAAGTAAAGATGTTTCTGCGCGGCCTGCCCAAACTGACGAGCCTGGAGATGCTTGGCTGGGACCACTCCTCCCTGTCGCTCGCCGACGCGCTACATCCGCAGCTTGCAACATTGTGTCTAGAGCCGCGGGACGGGACGCGCCCCAATGCCACGACCCTGCATTCAGAACTTGAGCCCCGGGAGAAGTCGCGCCCTGATGCGGCAGAGATTGCACGAATTGTCGTGCAATGTCCCTTGGTGGAGGACCTATCTCTTCATGTTGCCCGCTCCAAAGGCGACGCGGCAGAAACCGCCATCTACCACGCCATCGGCAGCTTTCCCAACCTAAAACGGCTCTCCCTGACTTTGGACGTGCCGGCACCGCGCCTCACTCCGAACATCGATCCTCATTTGGCTTTCGACACGACCAGGCGAACCATGCACGGCGATGACTCGGACTCGGACAACGAAGGAAATGAGGTCAACTCTTCTCCTCCCATCGTTCCGGGCCGCAACCCCTTTGTGGTGTACCATGTGGCCACTCGCCCAGTTGACCCTCCAGGGCATAAGATGCAAGACCACGACAGCCAAGATGCCAACCCAGCCACCTTGAATGAATGGTATGAGCAAACCGCCGTCGGTCTGGAACCATGGCGCAACGGCGACATCCACGACCTACTGATCAACACAGCCATCGACGGGGCACTCGCGCGAGCCATCTTCTGCGCCGTCTCCAGCAAGGGGGCAGATGCTCCCCTGAGGCGCCTGATGGTCAGGACCCGGTGCCGGTTTGTCGTGCTGAGCCGTGATCGATTCCGCACCGACCACCTCCAGCCCTTCAGGGAGGCGCTCCAGGGCGCGTGGGAGGTTGAGCGATTCGCGCCGGGCGGGGAAAAATACGAAGGAAAGCTCCGTACTCGGAAGCTGCCCCTCAAGCGACCGCGGGCGGACTGGGACGACAAGACAATGCTGCACCACTTCCGCCGCGTGTGGCCGGAGAAAGGGGCGACGGGGAACTGGTGGGATGATTGGAACAGCTGGCCTTTGTCGGCGGCTTGATAAACGAAATAAACACTACTACCTAGTGCTTTGCCAAAGTAAACAAACCCCTTTACCCCTCCGTCATCTACAGTGGCTTGACATCACACTCTTCAAGTTTTCAATGCGAGCACTGATTTCAGATCTCCAAATACTTTTTTTTTATAGAGGTATCCAATTTCCCCGTTCACCGCCAGCTTATTAACTAAGCCCGAAGCTCAGCAGCTTCGTACAGGGACTTGATATCCGCCTGCCACTGCGTGACATTCACCCTCACAAACCGGCGATCATACGACACCAGACCATTGACCTCCCCCTCAACGTCCGACGTCTGCGTGTACACGGCGCCTGAGCAGGCGTACATGGCGATCTGGTCACGCAACTGGCCGAAGAGCACGTGTGCGCGGTAGTTGTACGAGTTGTACGAGTCGATGCCTTCGTGAAGTTCGTACGTCTGGTTGAGGGTGTCGATTGCGGGTTTGAGCGGCCACAGACTTTTTTTCTGTCGTCAGCATTTCAAGTTGACCTTAACGCAGGTCGGGGGGAAACACGAGGAGGAAGGAGAACAGACTGCTCTGGGGATGGTGTCTGGCCTAGGCCGCCGAACTCGCCCTGGAAGCCGATCCGCTTGGGGTCATAGGGTGACGAGGCCAGCGAGAACCATGGCGTGCCGCATTGGGGCTCGGCGTATTTGTGGTTATCCTGCACATTTGATCTCTCAGTCAACTTTTCCCATGCTCCCAATGATGTCATCCCCGAACAATAAGAAAAGAGCGTACCGAGAAATCTCCCGCCCCGTGATCGAACCAGCCCGTCGTGGCATCCACCAGCCGCGTCGGGTCCAGGCGGCGCACCAAGTCGGTCAGCGCAAACTCGGGATGGTACGCGTCGCGGATCTGGCCCCAGCCCTCGTTGTAGATGACCCAGGTAACGATGCTGGGGAAGCTCTTGTGCTGGTTGACCATGATCTCTAGCTGGCGCTCGAACTCCTTCTGTTGGATGGGGTCGGGTTCGGCGCCCGTGGAGGAGTGCATGGCGGGCATGTCCTGCACGACGAAGAGGCCCAGCTGGTCGCAGGCTTGGTAGAATAGGTCGGACTCAACTTTGATCTGTGGCACGAGTTGGTGAGACGTAACCCAAAAAAAAAGGTGACGA